ACATTTTTACACATAAGAAACTATCACATACTCATAAAACGTTCCCAAACCCGATAAAAGACTCGATTCACCCAACCTTAGCCAATCCTCCTCCATCCCCTCTCCGCTCCATCCCACCGCGCGCGCCTCTCAACGGTCGTGTGGCGCAAATTCGAGGTCGCGAAAATGTTTGGTTTAGCATTCGGCTTATTGGCCTGCGAAACGTTCCTGCTCTCTGTTAGGCGTGTATGGATGGCCCCCAGGTTATAATAAAGCTAATTCTGCGGTGCTCTTGAGGCAGCTCGTGCCGCAACATGTTTTGGCCTCCTCCATCCGTGTATCCACCTCACTTCCCCCCCCCCCCCTTACTCCCTCCCTCTCTCTCTCTCTCTCTGTCTTCTTCCACGCGTTGTGGAACAACCGAATATATTTATACGCCCCCTCGGAAGGGGTGGCGCACGTCCGTTTATTAAAACGTTTCCACCCTGAGTATCTATCCCTCCCCCCCTCTCCCCCCGTCCATTCTCGTTTCCTCTTCGTCTTCTTTTCATCACGTCGACACGTGGCCTCGCGGTATCATCTCGCATTTTCGAAATTAACTCGAGAGAGGGGTATTTAATTTAATTAGGGAGGCAGGCAATGTTTTCGAAATCGTATAGTTAAATTTTCCTCGCTTGTTACTTTTGGGGGTTTCTTTTTTTTTTTTTTTTTTTGAGAGAGAAAGAGAGAGAGAGAGAGAGAGAGATTGGATAAATTGCGAGAATGTGTGTTTGAAATTCTCTCGAAGAGTTCTCGCGGAGGAAAGTTTGGAGAATGTGTGCGTTTCCTGACTTCCTCCTCCGGGATTGCTTTCTGTATTCGTTGAAAGAACACGTGTTTTTAGTTTCTCGACAGGATTAGTTTTAATTTCCCAACGAAATATATCTGTTTATTGGAAATTAGATCGATTACTTAATCTTCCTTTTTATGTGATATGTGAAATTATGTGATTGGAGAAAGATTGTTTTAAATCGACAAGATTGATATAATTGATTGTTAATTAAATTTCCAATTAGGATTATTAAGTATCAGACACAATTCGAAGTAGTATTTATTTACGTTTGATTTTTTTTTAAAATATCGAATAGATTTCTTGGCTCTTTATACGTGTAATTTTGTAAAGCGTAGAATAATATACTATCGAATGGTTAGATTTTTTATTTCAATAAGTTTTGTAAAGCATGGAATACGTAAAATGAAATGAGTTTGATTTTTTCGTTATTGAATAACGAAATTATTTTCATTCGTTAAGAGATTGACGATAAGAAAAAATAACAATGAAAATAGAAATGTAATGTAAGAAGAAAAGTAAGAATAATAGACGATGAATGTGAGAGAATGTATTCTTAATGAAATAAGAAAGGTGTAAGACATTTTATACCTGCCCTGACAAATTCAGGGTTCATCTTGATAATTAAATTTTTATTAAAATATCGCACAAAACAACGATATAAACTTTAATAATTTCAAATTTTCTTTCTTTACACGCAGAAATAGGTAAAACATTAGAATATAAAAGCTTTATATATTAATTCGCGCGTGAAATCATGTCAAGTTTGCTAAGAAATTCAAAAGGTTAATCAAAATCAAAGACTTTGGAAAATTTCTCTCTCTCTCTCTTTCTCTCTTTCTCTACAGGAATCGAAATCGTTTCGTATATATTTGTCATATATGTATATATATATACATGCGTTTAAGAAATTAAAACGCCTCCTGTTGGAATGTAAATCAAAAGGCATAATCGTAAACGGTTAATATAAGTAACGAGGAGTAAAGAAATTAGCCCCGGAGATAATATCTGAGGGGCGTCTACGCGCAGCGTGAAATCGACGAAAATTCATGGGACGAGCGGTGCACATCCGACAGGCGCCGTGTTACGATCGATTAAACGAACCACGGGGCCCGGACCGAGGAGTTGAACGAAGCCGTTGCGTTAATTAATCCCCTCCGATCTCGATTAAAATATTAAGAAACAATGGGCCAGATGGCAGACGGATCTTTTATTTTTCTCTCTTTCGTCTCTTTTATCCGATCCAGGATAACGAATCGCATTATTATTCTTCATACTCGTCTGATTTTTCTGATAAAATAAAAATTCGCTCGTTTCTAAAATTTTTCAGAGAAGAAAAGCGTTGGCAATAGTTGGAGAGGATCGAGGAAAGCTTAATAAACGAATGTTGCAATTATCGTGTAGCACGTTGAGTTTCCCCGAGGTATCCAATAACAAAACAAACTGGCAAAAATGTGCGCAGTACTCGAGAAAAACTCGTCAACGTTTACGCCTCGTTGCGACTCGAGCGCTTCGACGGTGTTTATTGGAAAAAAAACTTTCCTCGAAACGGGTATATTTATAATTTCCAAACACACGCGTTTGCCTCGTTTTGGAATCAAATAACATTACATAGAATGTATAATAATATGATGTAATTGTATGTTAATAATGGTATCGCGTGACAACGATAAAAACAAAGTACCTACGTTTCCAGAGAAAGATACTCGATGTACGGTAACTCGAATCGCTCGTCATATGTACAATACATTTTACGTAGAGCTACTTTAGTCGTACTTAACTTTTTAAATATCGATGCAGCCGCGACATTTATCGCGGAGGTGAGAGTGTTTCGAGAACGTGCAGGTAGGGATAAAGATAGAAAGGAGAGATAATACACTTCTTTCTGCAAAAGCAAATAAATATTGCTGACATTTATCGCGAAGGTAAGGAAGTAATCTACACTTGCCGCTCGAATTACGTAAACGAGGATACGCAATATTAGGAAGGAAGGAATCGGCGAAGGTTGAACTTGTTTCAAGAGAAATATTCTCCCAACGAATCTATATTCGGTACACACCTACGTTCAATTTGCATTTATCGCGCTTCCCTGAAAAGTGACGTTGCACCATCCAAAGTCACGTGCACATCCAGCAACCGAAATCATTCGTTAAACGGACAATAACGACTGCTTATTGAAAGTATTCGATCGTCGAATCACCGATCCCGGATAACGTCCTCTTCCCGTTAATAAAGACTATCCCCCCCCCCTCTCCTCCCTCCTGTCGTGTGTACCGTTGCATCGAGCTTCGGACAACTGAGAGAGGGAGAGAGAGAAAGAAAGAGAGAGAGCTGGGAACGTTGCTCGATGCACCACCTGACGCGACGGGGGGTCAGTGGTTCTCGACTCGATCGAAATCGCCACGCTCGCCAATTACGATCGTGAATTACGATCGTTCACGCAGATTTATTTATCGAAGACGCTCGGTTTAACTTGGTGGAGATCGACATAATTATAATACGATTATATAAAGTTTTTCAAGGGGAACGGATAAGGATATGGAACGGTGTTCGAGGGAAGATGAAAGGATATTGAAATGAATATTGACCGGTTATCGTGAAATTATCGTGAAATTCGTGTCGAAGGAATCGACACGAATATATCCCGAAGGGGAAAGGGATCATCGAATTTGCGTTAGAGGGCATCGAGGATTATTGGATGAAATTAAATTAAGGGCGGAATGTCTGGTTGGTGCGTGGTCGGGCTTCCCCGCTGGTGATCGGCTCTCTCTCTCTCTGAAATCACGATTTCACTTAAGGACACGCGAGTCGGTGTCGATCGATAGAGATATATCGGTGCCGGTTAATGATGACTCGGCCGAATTCGCCTCCAAGTAATTTACGAGAGGAGTCACGATTGATTCGGATACGGAGTGTCGATGTGAGCACCTCGAAACGCGCGGAGCAGGCCGTGACGAGTGAAAATACAAACAGTTTAACAGGGATGAGTAGTCGTTTAACGTTCCTTCCTTGGGATCAGCCGCTCCTTTTCTTTCTTCTTTTCTTTTCTTTTTTTTTTTTTTTTCTTTTTTTTTTTACTTTTTTTTTGCGAATGCCTCGTGGACATAGGTGTGGTCGCGCGCGTTTCGAACAGTGTCGTTGGAAATTGAAAGGGGTTGAGATGGAGAGGGATCGAAATGGAGGGGGATCGAAAGATGTTTATTGAGTTTGTTTATTTGTTAATTTTGCATTTTCGATCGAAATCGGAAATATAAATGTATATTGAAAGATTGTAAATAGGGATACGAGGTAATGTGTTATGGAATGTGATATTATTACCAACACATATTCGTCATCGAGGAGATTTAATATTGATTTAAATTGAAAGATTATGGTTTTTTTATTAAAATTAAAAATTGAATAATCTCAAGGAAATTTTAATGACAAAGTCGATGAATGAACTCCAAACTGATCAAATTCCAAGAATAGTTTTGTTATTAGCAAAATTAAAAATTGAACAATACATGAAATTTTTAACCTAAAAATTAAAATTTAAATTCGATAGAGACTTATATAATTTCAAAAATATAATTTCACTATTACAAATTATAATATAAATTAAAATTTAAATTCGATAGAAATTCTATAAAACTTCAACAATATAATTATAATTATAAATATATAATTTCACTACAACGGATTGCCAAAATTAAAAATTGAACGTAATAATACAAAATTTGTATCAGACACGAATTAAAATCTATTCGAGCTCGACCCAAGAGAGCCTAACCTAGCCTAACCCGGCGGGGGCGCTTCGGTTGCGTAAGTTGGCCCAACCACCCGCGGCCTTGCGTCAGAGAATCAATTATTGGTCCCGTATATCAATCCGATGACCGCGGCGCTCGGACCCCCGCTGCTTTTACGCATTTTCTTCCTTTCTCCCTCCCCTCGTCCCTCTCTATCCATCCTTAAGGAAAAAGGACTCCCATTCCAAGACGTTCCTTCTCGAGGGAGGAACAAGGCGAGGACGGATAAAGGCGAGAAGAGAGAGAGAGAGAGAGAGCGATCGCGCGCCAAAGACCGGTTCCCTCTTTCGCCGTTTCACGGCGATCGCCCCCCGCCTCCTCTCTCCTCCCTCTCTCCCTCCTCGCGCGTCGCGCACAGCGTCGATTCGACTCGAGCCGACTGACCGATTCTCTTCTTCTCTCCGTAGGGCGCCGACGAGGATGACAGCGCTTCCGTTGCCTCGGTAAGTTCATCGTGCATTGGGGCAACAGTTGATCGTCGAGCCAGCTTTCTTGTCAAGCGGGGAGGAGGGGGGTGAAGTGGGGCGAATTTGTCTGTTCAATGCATATATTTGGTATTTGGATTGGGTATAAGAATAGTAAGAAATAATAAGGGGAAGAGAACGAGGGGAGGATGTATTTTTATTGATATGAGATTCGATCGAATTTGAAAATTCTTCGACACACTTATATGAAGAGGAATAAATTGAGATAGAGTATTTTTCTAATTTTAAATTAGAGAAATAATAAAAAGGGGATAATGTAAAATGGGATAAATTAATATATGATAAATATGGGTATTTTTCTAACGATTAAAAAAATAATAATGAGAGTGTATTCTTCGAAATGAAATTCGATCGAAATTGAAAATTCTTCGACACTTATATGAATATTGAGATAGAGTATTTTTCTAATTTTATTAATTATTAATTTTTTATTATTTATTATTTATTATTAATTTTATTAATTATTTTATTTTATTAAAGATTAAAGAAATAATAATGAAAGTGTATTCTTCGATCGAAATTGAAAATTCTTCCACATTTATATGAATTGAGAGTATTTTTCTAATTTTATTAAAGAATAAAGAAATAATAATGAGAGTGTATTCTTCGAAATGAAATTCAAATTCTTCGAAATTAAAACTTATATGAATTGAATGAAGATATTTTTCTAACGATTAGAGAAATAATAAAAAGTGGATTGCGAAATGGGATAAATTAATATAGGATAAATATCGTTATTATTCCAACGATTAAAGGAACGGTAACAAGGGAAGCGTAATTTTCGAAATTACGGGATAATTCAAGAGAGAACAATATTTTCGACGAGTCGAAGAATTTTCAACCGAAAACTCTCTCCCCTCTCCCCCGACTATTTTACCCCCATTTCGCCCCGAAATATAAACTTTCCCCCGATAAACGGTCCGGGATCTCCGCGCGGAGATCTTAATTAAAATTCCCCTCCCTCGTAATCGGAGCCACGCATCTCATATTCGTCCTTGTCCCGCCCGTGTTTCCCCGTTATCGGCCCGGAGCTGGCTCGATATCGCGAGCCAACCCCTGTTAATTGAGCCAATTATTGCTTTGGCAAGTAGCAACTGGACGGGAAGTCACGGGAGTGGTTGGTCAGAGCGGCGCAAGGGGATTATCAGGCTTTGGCGAAATTGGCCGCCGAAGAACCTCGCCTCACCCGGCTCAAGGTACGTTTTCACCTTCTTCTTCTTCTTCTTCTTCTTCTATCTCTATCATCTCTCCTTCCAAAATTATTATTCACAAAAGTGATCATAAATTATCCTATCATCCAATCAATTATCATAAACTATATTCAAATAAAACAAATACATTCATATTCTCCCTTAACAAAGCTGTGGAAAGAGTTACTCACACACACACACACACATCTTCGCAACAAAAAAGAAAAGAAATCATAAATTATATTCAAATAGGACAAATACATTGATATTCTTCCTTAACAAAGCTGTGGAAAGAGTTACTCATACACACACACATACACACACACACACACACACACACACACACACTTACATCTTCGCAACAGAAAAGAAAAGAAATCATAAATTATATTCAATAGGACAAATACATTGATATTCTCCCTTAATAAAGGGAAAGAGTTACACACACACACACACACCTTACTTTATATCTTGGCGACAAGGAGAAGAATTGATCCAAGATCAGACAGAAAAGGAGAATAGAGAGGATAATACAGATTTAGATCAGGCATCGAATCGAATAGTTGGAAGCGCAAACGGATCTCGTTGAATTACGGGCCTGATAATGACAAAGGCGGGCCGGCCGGCCGGTCTATTCGTTTCGGAAATATAATTACGGTGTGGCTTACCGTAGATACCCCGGGATCAGGCGCGTTATTACACGCACGGCGGAACTTAACACCTGCGGCGTTGTAAATTCGCCGTTTTCGCGCCCCGCCATTGACAGGTCAATAAATCCTAAGGGGCCCCCGTGGCAATCAGCCGGCCCCTGTTATACCAAACCGCCAATACGTGCACACCGGATCACCGCTTGTCCATCACCCTATATATATATATATATATATATATATATATATATATATACGAGCCGAGGATTACTCCCTCCACCTCTCTCTCTCCCTCCCCCCCCTCCCCCATCTCTCCATCATCTCCTCCTCGAATCGAAAAAGTCTCCTCGTTCTCCTTTTCCCAACCAAGAAAAACCTTATATATTCCCCTTCAATTAAAAAAAACAACAGAGGGATTAATTGATTGATAAGAAGGAATGAGAGAGAAGAAGAAAAAAGAGAGAGAGAGAGAGAGAGAGGGAGAGAGTTCAGTCACTGCACATGGACGAATGGCCTCTTTTTTTTTTTTTTTTTTTTTTTTGNAACGGAGGAGGGGGAGGGGGAGGGGGAGGGAGTCGGTTGCCAATTTTCGCGGGAGTCTAGTCTCGCAAAAAGGGGGGAGGGGTTGTACGGTTACGTTGGGCATAGGAGGCGGCCCTGTATATCGCGGCGATGTTATCCGCAAACACGCGGGTTCGACCAATTTATCCCAAGGGATGGGGCGGAGGGGGGGGGAGGAGTGCGGGGCGAGCAACCTTGTCCAGCGGAATGAATTCAGCGCGCAGCCCCTGTGCGGTTCGCAGCCCCTTCCTCCTCTCCACTTTCCACAGGGATTCATCCCCCTCCCCCTTCTCCACTCGAGTTGGAGTGGAGCGAGCTCTTGAGCTCTCTGGTTTTTTTATTTTCTTCTTCTTCTTTTTAAGAAAGCGGGTTTCTTATGCTTGTTATTCTATCTCTTTTTTATTAATTAAGGTGTGAATCGATTGATAATCCAATTATGTTTCTCTGTGAGAAACGAGGAATTTCTGGGTTATGTATTTGGTTTCGATTATATAATAATAATTATTATATATTGGCAAGTGCGTGGGTACGCAAGTTTCTGTTTGGGGCCTCTTTTCCTCCGGTCGATGTGAATGATTGAAGAGATGGGGTTATTTTTCTCAAAAAAAATAACGAACCGATTCGGAATTCAGGATTATCGTTCAATTTCTCTGCATTCTTCGCCATTTTTCTTTTTTCTCGCCTATTTATTTTTGATCGAATTGTGAAAAAATTTCCCCTCCACCAACACGATTCTTTTTTCTTCAATAGGTTCTTTAATAGGTTTGGAAGCTCTTTTCTTATTTAGTTTTTCTTATTTAGAATTAGTCTCTCCATTCTCCGCCATATATTTATCTGAATGATTGATATTAGTTGATGGATGTAAAAAAAATTTGTTTCAATATAGTTCTTTTTCTTTAACGATTTAATAGATTTGAAATCTCTTTTCTTTAAAATCCACCTATCTCGAGAAATTAGCAATTATCGAAGAATTTGTCTCTCCATTCTCCGCCATTTTTCTTTTTCCCTCGTACGATAAAATAATTTTACATACAATACAATTAAAAATCTTATATGTATAAAAAAATACAAATTTTATTTATTATATTTATTATATTTATTATATATTATATTATTATATTTATTATTTATTATATTTATTATATTTATTATTTTATACAAATTTTATATGTATAAAAAAAAATTGCCAATATTTCTTTTTCTCAAACGTTTAATACATTTGGAACCTGTTTTCTTATTCTTCTCCCCATCAGAAATACCCCATAATTCGTTAAACTTTCTCATCAATAAATTGATAAAAATTCGCAATTCGATAATTACATTCAAACGACATAGAAAAATTTGTCTCGCCAATACAATTTTTTCTTATTCTTATTCTCCTCTCCATCCCAGAAATACCCCATAATACGTCAAACCACGAGAGATATCACGTCATCGATTCAGAATTTATTCTCTTCCTAGCCCCATTCTTTCTCAACGATCGGATAAAAGTTCGCAACCACGGGTTTACGAGCGTCTCTAACGAAATTATATTTCTATCGGTGTATAAATAGAAAAAGAAAATTTATCCAATACCAGATCTCCCTTGGTTGGTTCGACCAGGGGAGAGGATGATACGGAGAGCCACATATTAATCCATCGATGAATATGCAATATGGTCCGGGACGGGAGACAAAGTGAAGCAAACGACACGAGGGTGTCGTTTGTGGGTGGAACGTCGGTAGGCATTCCAATTACTCCCCTCTTCCTCCCCTCTTTGGTAATTAAATCAACAGGGAGGGTAATCAACGAAGACTGGCCACCAATTCTCCTCTCTCTCTCTTCCTTTCTCTCCCCCTTCCCCCTCTGTTGAATTTTTTTCCCAATAAATATATTTGTCTTCTTTCTTCGACAAGAATGGTAAATCAATTGATCTCTCTCTCTCTCTCCTTCCTTTTGTCGATTTTTTTTCTCAATAAATGTATAGAAAATCGTTCCAAGATGTCGTCTTGTCTTCTTTCTTCGAGGATAGTAAATTCTCAATTGATCTCTCTTCCCTCCTCCTCTTTGGTTTTTTTTTTGTCAATTTTTTTTCCCAATAAATATATGGAAAATCGTTCCAAAATGTCGCCTTGTCTCGTTCTTCGACTAGAAATGGTGAATCCTCAACTAATTTTTCCCCTTTTCTCCCCCTTTGTCGATTTTTTTTCCCAATAAATGTATAGAAAATTAATTGTTCCAAGATGTCGCCTTGTTTTTTTTCTTCGACAAAGATGGTAAATCCTCAATTGATCTCTCCTTCCTCCTTCTCTTTGATAATTAAATTAAAAGGGAGGGTAATCGACAAAGACTAGCTACCAATTCTTTCTCTCTCTCTCCTCCTTGTCGAATTTTTTTCTCAATAAATATATGAAAAATCGTTCCAAGATGTCGCTTTGTTTTCTTTCTTCAACAAGAATGGTAAATCTTCAATTGGTCTCTCTTCTTCCTCCCCCTTTCTTTGGTAATTAAATCAACAGGGAGGGTAATCGACGAAGACTACTATCAATTCTCTCTTTTTCTCTCTATCTTTCTCTCTCTCTTCCCTTGTCGATTTTTTTTCTCCAATAAATATATGTAAATATATGGAAAATCCCTTCCTTTTCCTCTTTCTCGATTTTTTTTCCCTATAAATATATGGAAAATCGTTCCAAGATGTCGCCTTGCCTTCTTTCTTCGACAAGGTTGGTAAATTCTTAATTAATCCCTTTATCGAATTTTTTACCCCATCGATAAATATATATGGAAAATAGTTGCAAGATGTCGCCTTATCTTGTTTCCTCGAGCAGGATGGTAAATAAATGCTCAATTAAACGAGCAAAATTTTTTACAAGTCGAGATATGATTTTCGAGATGGAGAGAGTTTTCTTTTGTAAACCGAGCTCGTTAAATCGTTCGAGCACCTGTCTCGAAGGTTTGCAAAAAAAAAAAAAAAAAAAAAA